GTTTATTATATAACACAAAAAAGATTAACTTCTACTCATGAATTGCTCAATTGTTGTAATAACTAGAAGAATACGAAAAGTGAAACCCGCGTGGAATTATTTATGTTCTAAAAGTTTGCCGATATATCAAATTTTTATATTTTAGGGGTAATTTATTTGAAAAAACGCATCATTTTGAGCAATTTTAAGTGAAAGTTGTAGTTATATTAAATATGCATGTTGTCTGTTTAACAATTTTAAGGACAATATTCAAGCTATTAGATATTCGAAATCAATTGTTCAGAATGTATTTGAAAGAGTAAATTATTCCGTATTAGAGAAAAACCCGTGCTAGCTACTTGAAATATGAATAAAAAATGAAAACTATCAATTTTGTTCATTTTCTTAATTTAAACTTCATTATAGGCCGACGCATTGTGACGTTAAACAAGTTATTTTACAAAAAATGACTAGACTAGCTACTTTAAATATGAGAGACAGTCCTAAATCGTTCATAGAATGATGATCTAAAACAGTGAAGGTATTGAGACAACGCTAAAACTCTTACGTAACCTTTATGATAACAATTTTGTTTGAGTAAAAGTTTTGAATAGATTCCTTACAAAGCTAACATAAAGAACAGTTGTTTGTGTGTGTTAAAGAGCTGTCGAAGTGTCAAGAAGGCATTGACGATAATCTAATTAACACTATTAGTCGAAAGTGATAGCCGGTCTACGCTAATGTCTAAAAATACCAATTGCGTATTCGTTTTCTAATGAAGCTTTATTCTATACTCTTGTACGTGAAAATTAACACGATTTTACCTATGATAAGAACTAATAACGAAAAAAATATGCCGGAATCATATCAAATATCACGCTGCTCAAAGCGTAAATAAACGTGGCATTACATACGCAAATATCGGCGAACGAAATCTGAGAGTGACGCTGACAATTAATGTTGCATAAAGTTTAAAAATAGAAATTTCGCTCTGTTACGGCTCGTTGCCGACCAGACACACTGTCTTGAATAAAAGGTTACATCACATCTATTCGTCGTTTACAATGACTTAGGGTAAATTTAGGGCGTGAGGCAACATGAGAAAAGAAGTCCTCGCTTTAACAATGACAATTGGCCTATCACATAGTTAAAAGAATTAATTTATTCGTTTAAATTATCACATGTAATAATGGCGCTCCAGAAGTGTGTGTACCGATATGGAGGTAACAAATATTGTTCGACTACTTCACATCAAGTTGTGTAAAGGGACTGAATCCTATGAGCAGGGCTATATTAACTAGGCTAACACAGACAGTATCCCGAAGTTGTAATAGAACTAAAATAAGGAAAATCGGAATAAAATTATGGCCTAACCTTAACCTGGTACACACTCTACAGAAGTTTCGTAATAATAATGTAATAAACTATATTGAAATATTAAGAAGCGTGTGTTTAACAATTCAAAAGCGACAGACACGATGAAGAAATCCCACATATTTTTCTCGTTCAGAAACTGATTTCCAACATTGACTCAATACTTCAGGGTGTGCATAAACTCTCTTTACAATTTTAATTTTTTTATGGAGTTATTTTTTTGTTGTTTTTTAATCAGTGATTGTTGTTTAAGTATTTCTACTTCATTTAATACATCAGTTAGAGCCAAAACAATATATGGTATCGATAAATTTCTTTTGTAATTTTAAAAATTATTAAGACTTCGTGGACACCCTATTAATGTCTTAAATAGCAATTGTCATCACGAGTATAGTTTACAAATACAGATATTTACAAATTAAAATATATCACTGAAAATTAACTAAATTAGTGTACGTAAGCTCAAAGCTCATAAAAAGCTTTGAAATTTGGGGTATTTCACTGTACTTCAATATTGTTTTTGCTTATTGTGTTTTGTTTATCGGGGTTACAAAATACCAAACAAAATAACTTGTCAATTATGTTTCTCTGTAATCATTTGCGTTTTCAAAAACCAAACAATTTTTAAAATAAAATAAATTATTTCCGCACACAATTTCTCAACAACCTTCACCACATTTGATTACAATTTCTGCAAGCCGGCAAATTTTGCATTCTCAAAGCTGTCTTTCAATTAAATCATTGTTCGCTGCGAAAACGCCGGACACGGCTAAAAGTTCGAAATTGCGCGGAACATGACCACCGGCGCCGATCCCATGCATGACATTTTACGTATTGTTATAAGAAAGATAAGGCAGACAACATTGATAAGGCTAAAATCAGTGATAAATTTTGCCTTTTGGTTTTCGCCTGTGGTTATTTGGTCGATTTCAAAAAGTAAATTTCGAAAGAATATTTATTGAATGTTTCAACTAACACGAGGTTCAATTAAACTGATTTTATTGCACCCTTCGTTATTTAGGTTGTACCATACGGCTATGATATCAAGTAGTTGAATTAGAGAAATAAAAACTATAAAATGGGTAATATACATTTCGACATACATTTTTTTAAATCGTGAAATGAGATCACGCTATTTTGTCACAATTCAGAATGTTTAGCGTTCAATATCACATTGGAAAACACACGCCCAGTCAGGAATATAAGGTGGAGTTTGTGTCTCAAAAATGTGTGAGATAAGTGTGACAAGTGTGCCAAAAAAGGGACTTGCTTTGAATAATTGTGGGATACCTGGGGCGAATTAATATGCCCCAAAAGTCATTTGAATATCCCCCTAACATGCACACGGGCGGCGATACGGGTAAAAGCGTCTTGCAATTTTATATTTTCCTGTATTTCGTAATAGCATGTTTTCAAATAAATCATGTTATTATAGACCCTACCATAGAACCAAAAGTAATGGCACACCCGCAGTGTGTGTAGCAGGTTATGATTAGGCCATCATTTTATTCCGATTTTCCTTATTTTAGTTTGATTACTAGTTCGGGGACTGTTTGTGTTAGACAAGTGAATATACCCCCGCCCATCCATAGGCTTCAGTTCCTTTACACAACTTGATGTAAAGTAGACGAACAAAATTAGTTACCTCCATTTTGGTACACACACTTCTGGAGCGCCAAAATATTGTTTACAAGAAAATTATATCAAATGAAAACGTTATTTTCAAGGGAAACTACCGTTGTACTATTTTAAAATTTTTCTGTGAAGGTAATCCTAAAAATACATCCGCCAAACAGTGAACGATTACATCACAGATTAAAGGATTAAGTTTCCCGTAATGAGCCATGACTAAGTTGTTCTGATAACATCGTACAAACGACAAACAAACAAAGTTTTAAATTAACCTGTATTTTGTGGTAGATTATGTAATCATTTATTGAGTGAGTGCTGTGACACGAATGATATATAAGTTATAAAGAACATTGTGAAATTATTCATTTTTCGTGAATTAATATACTAAACGATCGTACTGACGATATGAAAATAAATTTTATATCTACAAGTGTTATATTTACATAGTAATAGAACGAATTTATCGCGCCGTTATTTTTCCATATTATACAAGACTATCTGGACAACACAATACTTTTTATTAATGATGACTACATGAACAGTATATACTATATAGTATATCTACAAAATGTAATGTTTACACAATAACGCAATACGGGGTTTCATGCCATATTACACACAACACCATCTTGACAACACCGAAAAAACTGCAGGAATAGGAACCATCGTATTGAAATTAATTGGCCAGAATAGTCATTGCGATACATACCGTGGTTATTATGACGCTCCACGGGTTGCCGACGATTAATATTTCGAATATGCTTTTGCTAGTGAAAAGATAAAATAAACGCATTACTGCAATTGTAAATTTATAAATCAATGGTTGGCACTCCCAAGACATTGTCACGTTCTATTTAAATTCTTGTAGTGAAACTGTTATATTTACTGAAAACTGCAATATTAGCGCATAAAAACAGTTTCATAAAACATATAAACTTGTAAGCTAACTCAGCACAAATTTAATCACGCAACGAGCTGCGTTTTATTTTACCTAAGACACAGTATTTTAGTTGGAAACGCGTTATTTTTATTTCGATCTTTTATGATTTTGATTGACGAAACAAATAGAAAATTATACTCGAAGTTTTTTTCCAATGTTTTACTTCAGTGTTCGCCCGTAACTTCTCTCAGAGACCAATCTCCCGAGTGAGTGCGCGCGCCTTTGCTTGGAGAAAATGTCCATAAGAAAAAAAGCCGAATAATAACCAATATTAACGATCATTGTATGAAAAGCTATCTCAATATGGTCAATCGATTCTTAAGCGACTGGAATGACTTTATATGTTTAAAAAGAAATAGAATCTAAAATAATTTGGGTCAATTTCTACGTAGTTTTCGATTCGTAAATTAGCCTTAATTTCAAAAACGACAGTGAACAAATGTTAACATATTATGGCATCAAAAAATAAGCGTTTTGATAGGAATTCATATAGAAACGTGCGACCTATTTTCACATCACTTCAATTCAATACCTATATTTTCCTCAAATACTTATTGTTTGAAATAATCTTTTAGTTTATAAGATTTGAGTTTGATCCGAATCTCAAAATACTAAAATGAAAGTATTATAGTTATCAATTTTTTTTACGATACAAATTAGAGTTTTCTAAATTTAGTTTGAATTTACAATGTTTATTTGATCATTTGTTCTTTTTATATTTCGACGCGATGTTCAAGAGAAAGTCGCAATAAAATTGATTGGGGTCGCATATTCCAAAATAAATAAACTAGAAACAATATCAATTTCATGCCCTGGCAAGCGATCTAAAATTAAAAAGCTTTATTTTTAGAAACGAGGTGTATATAATCTGACAAATAAGCTCAAATGGAGCGATAGCGTAATCGTTTGTGTGCGCTTATCCGTAAATTCGCACGCTGAATTCTCTCGTTTCTAGGCCGAAAACCACATAGAACTTTAATCAAATATTTTTTCTCGTTTAGTGCGATATGATCTACGAAAGTGCGATAGTATAAATGTGACGGACAATCCATTGAAAGTCATATTATTGCAAAAACAGCGCAGTTGAATCGCATTGGAGAGTATCTGAGAAATTCCAAAGCGCAAATTATTTATTGATTATCATGAATACACGTACACAAACTATGGAAAACCAAACAGAAACCAGCGACTCCTGTGTGGGAGGAAATACTACCACGTTTCCAAGCAAACGTTTCGTTATTTCTAGGAATTGGATATTTATTATTGTCACTGTTCTACATTTGCTCGCATTATGTGCTGAAGCAAAACCAGCGAATTACTGGAATACAGAAGTGTCAAGAAGGTAAACATATCACATTCTTGAATTTAATTTCTAAATACAATGGGACTTTCATGGAAAGAAGGTTCGAGTTGATAGTAACCAGCTGAAATTATTTTCACGCATCGCATTCTGAAATTTTGGGTGATTACGAAACAATTTGACCGTTTCAACTCTGATTGTGCATCTAGTTCCTTTCTGAAATTGGGACGTTTTGATTCGCTGAATTCTGTGGAACGAAGCATTCGCCATATTTGTGTTGTTTGAAATTCACGATTTAGAAACAATTATCCAAACAACATATTAGTTTTAAAACTGAGGTCAGTTTTTATATTAATTTTAAAACGTGCAGAAATACACCTATGGTCGATAAAATACTATACGAAAATAAGATGATTCATCATACCAAATAAACATATAGTAATACGCCGCTCGGTGTAAGTACATTGACCTCTCGATCAAAACACAAGTTCAGTAGTTTGAAAAAATAGAATTACAAAAAAAATTGTAAAGGTCTTTGACACTTTTGATACAAACTAAAACTAGGTTGGTTAAAGTCTATGTTATTCATTTTTATTTCAATGTCTTACTGCTTACTATCGAGTTTTTGAATGAAAAATTCTTTTTGCAGGCGGCATCATCCACAATACATTTGTACTGGTAAACTAAGAAGAGCGTGTGCAAGAGTGGCAACAGAATGTCTCATCCCTGTTCCAACAAATAAAAAGCAAGAGATCGTTGATTTGGTCAGATCCGCAGCAGCTGAAATCGGTAAGTTTCGAAATTACTTTCGTGTATTATACATTGAAAACTCCTCAGCATTTAATAGGAGAATCAGCGATTCTCGATTATTATATCGCTCACTTTTGTCGAAATGGAGTATAAACCGGGCGCCATAGTTTGTCTATAGTTTCGGAAGAAGTGTACCGTATTAAGGTTTGCAGCGCTAGGGGTGTAGAAACTGAATTTTAATATGACAACAAAACACTTGTCAAATACTACATGCTAATTTCATATCATTGAATTGATCGTCATACTCGGTATGACATTTAATATCAACGATAATGTAATAAAAAATATTAGCGGAAATGATAGGATCTTTTCATTACCTAACCATATCCGCAAACATTATGAGTTAATAATGTAAAACGATGACACGAGAATACATTTGAATGAAATCGATAGTACTTGAGAAGCGAACCTGCTTATGTTTGAAAAAACTGATGCTTATCTAGCTTTTCAAAAAACTTGTAATTTCCAAACGTTTCGAGAAAAGATGATATGATATATAATAAAAATGGCCAAAAAGTATGGAGGTATTATTAAGCTTAACTTTTTAAACTCAAAGTATTGTAAATACAAATACAAAAATAATAATTATATTTTAATATTTATTCCAGGCGAAGCCGAAAGACGACGAGCACATCATGAAATTATTACAAGCGAAGTCGAATTGTCGCCGCTTCTCATTCACCGTCTTCACCAGCTTGAGAGAGAGGCAAGGCATATCGCACATGATCATGCTTATCATGTCAAAGTGTCATGCAAAAGATGCGACCAATTATGCTGGGTATGAAAAAGACCCCACGTAGAAATCTAAGCAAAAAGAATCGCGAAATTAGCTCATTCTATTGACAATTTTGCTGATAAAAAGAAACGAAAATGTCCGTTTCACAAAGAAAATGTGTTTTCACCGGGAATGCATCTCATAAAATACGGCGTCGCGAAGAGACGTCGGCGGAGAAGAACGATTGAGTATCGAACCAGTAACCGGACGATATATTTCAATGCATAAAACTACAGGAACATACAAAGTGATCTGATGAAACTGACATAAACTCTGGATTTAAAATCGATTCGGAATTAGTCATTTGCAACCTAAAATTCAAACAAATTGGAGTTCCTATTTGTCGCTTATTTCAAAGAAACTTTTGTTGCAAATACACGAATTGGTTTCGTTGTTCTGCCAATATCAGTATGAAAATGCTACAATTTTGCGCCAATGTCAAAAAAGCGAAACCTAAAATTTTAAACTTTGTAAATATTTATTTTACTTTAAATTATCAATCATAGTTAATAGTATTTTCCATATTTATATTAGCGCTTATGCTTTTTTCAGTTTCTATAGCTTCAATACTGACAAAAGGTTTCCTTGCCTTAATATTTGCGTTTTGTTTGTTATTTATGTTTCAAATGCGTCCAACGCAACTAGTTACTAATCTATATATTATATACTGTGAAATTCGCTGATGCTTTTAGTCTATTAATTTTTTATTATCCTAGCTATGTATTTATTATTACTATTTAAGTTATTTTCACTTTTATACGCAGCACTGTGGCTTTTGTATGCTCCATCGTCGATATCAATAAATTATACTTTTACAAATTGTATGTGGTGTTTTTAAACATTCAAAGACTGAAGAATGAGATTATTTTATTGTAATTTTTCACAACCTACTTCAGAACAAGTCTCTGAACAAGAATGTTTCCATATGAAATGTGTTAATATTTTCAAAAATATCAGAATCTATGAAATTTGGTCATGCCTACTCAATTTATTACACCCCGGATAATGCTGAGTAATCTACGATGCCAGAATATTTAAATAGAACGGTCAAATTCGCGGGTCCTCGGCCTACAGGGAGATAGATTGTTAATGAATGATGTATCATTGGTAGATAGATAAAACTGAAACGATTAATCAGTTAGATTTTTTGGAAGTCAACTGCAACAGATTTTGTCATCCCGAAAACGATTTATAGGGTACCTCCCTCTAAAACGAATCTAGGTCATTTGGAACATATTCTACGTCTTCTGTTTTTAAATTTTCGGTCACCCTGTACCTGATATAACTGATTGACAATTTAAAATTGATTAACTTTTCAGAGTGCGACCCAGTCAATGCCTAATAACAGAAGCAAAAATATTTTCTAAATTTTATTCTTCATGTATATACCAAGTTTTTCGCAAAAAATAAACGAGGTTTTACATTAACTTAAAGAAGCCATCAAACCTGAAGTGTATATGTATGAATGTATAACGCATAATTTTTTATTGTACAATTCGCGACAAATGTAGTAAATCAGCACCTTCACAGGCGTCATGACGTGGCGAAACTATACTACTGCAGAACGCGAAAATGTAATTGAATTCCTGCAGTAAACAGCTTGGTGCTTAGTATAAGGATTTGTATTTGAGTCATACTTGACTCATCATACCACATAAATGAAAATAATGACGTAATTTTGATTCGTGGAACTCTCAACTTGCAATGCTACGTTCTACAATCATTTAAAACATTGGATTATACGCCAAAATATAACAGGTAGATAGGACACGTTATTCAAACATGGGTAACATGTGCCCATGCTTTCCGATGTGCCAATTTGAAAAAACATCCATTGCATTGCACCATTCGCATTTTTTTTTGGTTTAGGCTGTTGATGGGCGCCAGATACTTCCAGCTGCAATTCTAGTAGTAACATAAAAATAAACAAAGTCAGAATCCTAGGAGACGCGCTTAATATTATACCGTTAGAAGGGACACTCCATTTAAACATGGGTCACATATGCTCATATAAAGCCCATAATGCTTTCTGGCATTTCAATTTCCGAACGTCCATAATCTGCAAGCTGCAATCCTAGCAGCAAAGAGTGAAAAATAAACAAAGTAGGAATCTTAGCAGGAGACGCCCACAAAACTATGCCGAATTTCCACAACAAAAAATTTTTCTGCATTTTAATTTTTATTTGAATATTACTATCAGTCCATTACTTTCAAAACCTGTCATTTAAGATAGAACACAACTTCGAACAAGTATACATGATGAGGTAGATACCCAATCGCGCGATAATCAATTCGTGGGTTGCAATGATATAGAGAAAACAAACGATTTTTTATAATGAATTTTGACATATTTAGAAGGCACACTTGACACTTCAGCTTAACGCTTCCTTTGTAAAGTAAACGCACCACATTTTCTTATAATAACAAAAGTAGGTTTTGAAATTAAGTCATTTTCAATTAGTTGATATATATTCGTTTCAAAATTAGAATAATCGAAAATATATAACGTTCTATTTTCTTTAAACCAGAGATGAGTATTGGTACTATTCAATAAAAGATTCCCATCCTTCCCATACATAGTAACTCGTTACGTGTCGTTAGAAATCAGTGGCGGCATGCACTGGGCCTTGTTCGTAACGGAGTAAATTAGCGTCGCATAAAAATGATTTAATCGATATGCAATTTATGCTTATCTATCTGCTTGTTTTATGTAAAAATTGAACCTCAAAGAAATAAATCGTTTACTCGCTATAAAAAGTGGGAACTCGTGACTCTGCTTAGGTTAAATTAAATTTATGATAAGATAATGGCCAATGGGAGATGGCTTTTTAATAAATTTCAGTATAACCAGTTCTTGCGATCAAAAACAAATCTCATTTTTCGGAAGCTGCAAGTCGAAGATTGTTATGTTTATAATTAAGCGGTAATACAACAAGATATTCGTGTTTACGGATGACAAATCTATCTAAACAGTCGTGGTTACTCATCAAGGCTTGTTTTTGTTCTCAGGTTTGAGACTTGTAGCTTTGTTTATTGTCCAAATCCGGTTGATATCTAGCTAATGCTACACGATGCTCATTTCACAACGATACTTTTGTAAGTGATTGATCTTCAGATAATACCGGATAGATCTTGCCATGACATCGTGATGATTGGTTAAAATCGTTAAATCCATCAAAGATCCGATCATATCGTGGGACAGTTGAGAGCGATATCTAGAAACGCTCAATTTTATTCTGGTGGAATTGATAACCACTGATTGAGTTGAGAACATTTCAGTTGTGTAGTATCAAATTAATGATAAAATCATTCAGAATAATTTACGGACATGCATACCAACTCTCCGAACGAGGCGAGCTTTAGAGACGTTTAGAGCCCAAAAATAAAAATGTCTGGAATTTTTTCACATTCGGCATAACAATTCCATAGACTTTTGACTATAATAAGAGGCTACGAATAACTTGAGTTATTTTCTATGTGTGCATTTGAACGGCAACTGATCCCAAGCTTTATTAAAGTCATTGTACTGATAATAAAACGAAGGAATTGCCACGCCAGTCGGGGGTTTGTATCCTACCCGAAATGTTTTAAACACCATAAAATACGTACGGGAGCAGTGCTCGGTTGTGGCAAATTTGGTAACGCAAACGTAATTTAGTAATTATTTAAAAACATCACTAAATTATTTTCGAGATGGCATAACCGGGAATCAAACAGTTATGGATAGACAAATTTAAACAGAGATTAACTGAATGATATACGCGAGAGTACCATAACTGTGGAACCACCCGCCCCCCCCCCCCCCCCCTTGAAATTAAAAAAGAAATTCTGTAACATACATAGCATACATAGCAATTTTACATTGCTTGAAACGCTTTTTAGACCCCAAGGACTCAAATAGGCTAAACCTCCATAATATAGAAACGCAATGATTAGGTAAAAGTTCGGAAGCCGCCGTGATTTATATAATAATACTTTCCTCGTTTAGAGATCGTGCGAGATGTGGTCGCGTGGTTGCTCAAAAGTAATGCGATAAGTCTGCCAAATGTCGCTTTATTTATCCGTACTCTTCAAAAGTGATGCCGTAATCTGTTGGAATTAAATTCGCTTGAGTTCATTAGCTTATCAGAGTAAAGTAGTTTATAAACTACCGCGGGCGTTCAATTCGTTGTGAAGTTTACATGACATTCAGGATTTATGGAATACTAGCTGCAATTTGATTGTCATATTTATAACATAATCTATCTAGAGAAAGCATAACTTTTGTGCGAAACGTCCTAGATTACTGGAACTTTTCGGTACAATCATAGACAAACAGAAGTTTGAGTGTAAACAAATTTAAGTAATTTAATCCATTTTAATAGAAGTAATTAAGAAATTTACAGGTTCTGTTTTAGGTCACACTAAATTATCGTCTTTTGGTGTGTTGTGGTTCATTGATTGGTTAAAGAGTCTGTGTAACAATTCGGACATCGTAAGTATGTCATGATTTTTACATTTTTAATCTGAAATTGAGAATACAACGCTCACACTTGGCTAACACAGATAGTATCTAAATTAGTAATATAACTAAAATAAGGAAAATCGAACTAAATTTTTGGCCTAGCCCTAACTTGTTACACACGCTACGGGAGCAACCAATCACTAAGCCAGATTCTCGATGCAAAATACGAATATCTTTGTATTACATCGAATGCTATAATCCATGCTGTCATGCGCTTCAGATTGCGATGGAAATTCAAATTTTCATATCAATCCTTACCCTACATTTTTGTATTAGTGGTGGGAGCTTTGTACAAAAGATCCCGCAGAACTAATAATATACAACGGACAAAGGTAGACGTAAGTTTTCTCAAACTTTTTGAAATCGCATACACAAATGAGAGTTTTGAGTAATTTTCTTTCGACTGTCTGTAATATCGACAGCGACCTGGTAATGTATAGTTTATAAACGTGGACCATAGGTTCTCAAAGTGCTCCATACGATTTACATATGAAGATACTGACTTGACTAATTTTGTAACTTTTAAAAGGAGCAATAATATAATAAATATTGAAAGCGGTAAATACATCCAAGCCAATGAATAAAGTAATTTTAATTTACTCATAAACATTAATCGCTAAGTAACAATGTGTTTTTTTGTTTATATTTTTATAAATCTATTGTGGGCTCCGTAACTAAAAGTCTACCTCCTCAGGGGCTCCATAATAAACGAAAGATTGAGAAACCCCGACGTAGGCAGCAATGTTTTCAACGACCGATGCCAAAACCTTTGATATTGCAAATGTTTACAGATTTTTTTCACCCAAATACAACAAATCTGGCGCGAAAAAGATGCTTCAGAGGCTCTTGCAAGCAATCGCTGTTAAAAATCTCTCAAATTTTTTCAAAAAAATCAATGCTCATTACTGACACTTTGCGGATGAGATTGATACCATTTATACTGAAGTGTTTACCAGGACTATGAATTCGGAGTTTCGCATGTTTTTATTAATATTGGACCCATAACGTGTTTTTCAACTCCCGAAAAGTCAATTTTTTTTTTTGCGGAGTCTGAGTCGAAATGCTTTTTGATCTGAGACCGAAAATTTTGTACCTCCGTTCGCAGTTACACTTGTTTGCATTCGTGTGTGTGGCAACGTAATAGATCAGCAGACCACTCTTATTTAACAACTAGGCTATTATCGACTCATTTCCACCTAAACACACAGTATAAAACTAAGTGTCGCACAAATAACTGATGTAAACAGATAAGACTTCGTGAAGGATACTCCCGAAGTATGTGA